GCTGGTTATCAGCATGTCTCTCCTCTCGAGCTGTCGCGCTGACAGCTCGAGAGGAGAGAAGAGCCGGTAATCGGCTTTCCACAGAAGGGACATGTGCCCTGATGATCGGTGTAGCCCCAGCAGTGCCACCTGTCAGTGTCCATCAGTGCCTTGTGTCAGTGCTCATCAGTGCCTTGTGCCAGTGCCCATTAGTGCCACATATCAGTGCCTACCAGTGCACATCAGTGCCCCATCTGAACTGCCTTTCAGTGCCACCTATCAGTGCTGCCAATCAGTGCCAGTCAGTGACGCCTATCAGTGCCATGTATCAGTGCTGCCTTTCAGTGCCCATCAGTGATGCCTGTCAATGCCCATTAGTGCCACCTACCAGTGCCTCCTCATCAGTGCCTATCAGTGTCCATCAGTGCAGCCTATCAGTGCCCACCACTGCAGCCTCATTAGCGCATATCAGTGAAGGAGAAAAATCACTTATTTACAAAATTTTATAACAAAAACTAAGAACTTTTTTTTTCAAAATTTTCAGTGGTTTTTGGTTTAAGAAAAAATAAAAAACCCAGAGGTGATTAAATACCACCAAAAGAAAGCTCTGTCTGTCACAAAATAATGATAACAATTTCATATGGGTACAATGTTGTATGACCGCGCAATTTTCATTCAAAGTGTGACAGCACTGAAAGCTGGAAATTGGCCTGGGCAGGAAGGGGGTATAAGTGCCCTGTAGGCTAGTGGTTAAACACAGATTTTCGTTTAAGTTCCAATCGAGAACTACAATTCTGTCTTCTGTGGTGACAGATGGGACTTGTAGTTTATTAATTTACAGATCTCAAAAACCCCAACACTCTATCACATGTAGGGGGGCTTTGGGGGTGGAAAGCAGGTGCATAGCAACATGTTACACCCTAAATACAGGTGTAATATATAACATTATTCTTGCCTGTATATTGTATATAGCCTTTTAGCTTACTTAATACATTATACATAGAGATGAGCGAATCGAACTTGGCGAAGTGGAATTCGTTTCGAATATTAGGAAAAAGTCGATTCGCGACGAATCCGAAAATTAGCAAACTTCGGATGCACGAATCGAATTTTCCCCGATCGGCCGATTTTCATCCCTTCTACAGCCGGCAAAAAGTGTCCCTGCAGAGAGCTCCGCTATTTCTGACAGTTCTCTGACAGTTCCTTCACATTTACAGCGGTTGAAACATTGTATCTATTTGTTTCCATTTAGGATACAGATGTTTTTATTCGGAAACAAATAGATACAATGTTTCAACCGCTGTAAATGTGAAAGAACTGTCAGAAATAGCGGAGCTCTCTGCAGATACACTTTTTGCTGTACTGGAATTCTTCTTATTTTCATCCTACTTCTTCTTCTTCTTCTTCTTCTTCTTCTTCTTCATCCTCATCCTCTTCTTCTTCATCCTCATCCTCTTTTTCTTCTTCTTCTTCATCCTCATCCTCATTCTCTTCTTCTTCTTCCTCATCCTCATCCTCTTCTTCTTCTTCTTCTTCATCATCTCTCTTCTTCTTCTTCTTCCTCATCCTCACCATCCTCTCTTCTTCTTCTTCTTCTTCTTCTTCTTCTTCTTCTTCTTCTTCTTCTTCTCCTCATCTTCTTCTTCCTCATCCTCATCCTCATTCTTCTTCTTCTTCTTCTTCTTCATCTCATCCTCTTCTTCTCATCTTCATCCTCATCCTCTTCTTCTTCTTCTTCTTCTTCTTCTTCTTCCTCATCCTCATCTTCTTCTTCTTCCTCATCCTCATCCTCCTCATCCTCATCCTCATCTTCTTCTTCTTCTTCTTCTCCTCATCTTCTTCTTCTTCTTCTTCTTCTTCTTCATCCTCATCTTCCTTCTTCTTCTTCTTCTTCTTCTTCTCATCCTCATCCTCTTCTTCTTCTTTCTCTTCCTTCTTCATCCTCATCCTCATCCTCTCTTCTTCTTTATCCTCATCCTCTTCTTCTTCATCCTCATCCTCTTCATCCTCATCTTCTTCTTCCTCATCTTCTTCTTCCTCATCTTCTTCTTCTTCTTCCTCATCTTCTTCTTCTTCTTCTTCTTCTTCTTCTTCTTCTTCTTCTTCTTCTTCATCCTCATCTTCTTCTTCCTCATCCTCATCCTCTTCTTCTTCCTCATCCTCATCTTCTTCTTCTTTCTCATCCTCATCATCTTCTTCATCATCCTCATCTTCTTCTTCTTTCTCTTCTTCTTTCTCTTCTTCTTCCTCATCCTCATCTCATCCTCTTCTTCCTCTTCTTCTTTCATCCTCATCTTCTTCTCATCTTCTTTCATCCTCATCCTCATCCTCTTCTTCTTCTTCATCCTCTTCTTCCTCATCCTCATCTTCTTCTTCTTCTTCTTCTCATCCTCATCCTCATCCTCATCATCTTCTTCTTCTTCTTCTTCTTCTTCCTCCTCATCCTCATCCTCTTCTCTTCTTCTTCTTCTTCTTCTTCTTCTTCCTCATCCTCATCCTCTTCTTCTTCTTCCTCATCTTCTTCTTCTCATCTTCTCATCCTCATCCTCTTCTCATCTTCTTCTTCTTTCTTCTTCTTCTTCCTCATCCTCATCATCTTCTTCTTCTTCTTCCTCATTCATCATCTCTTCCTCTTCTTCCTCTTCTTCTTCTTCTTCTCTTCCTCATCCTCTTCTTCTTCTTCTTCTTCTTCATCCTCATCTTCTTCTTCTTCATCCTCATCCTCTTCTTCAATTGAAGCTGCTTCTGCTCCGCCACTCTGCCATTGGACTCTTGATAGTCGTCTCCCCACACTGCTGCTGGGGGGACTTTTTAACATAGGCCTCTGTATGGCCTTTAATTTAAGCTGCTTACGCTTCGCCACTCTGCCATGGGCCCCTGTACCGACTCCTCATGCTGCTGCCAGGCCCGTAATCTGTCATGGGCCCCTGTACCGCCACCTCATGCTGCTGCCAGGTCCAGAGTGTGTCATGGGTCCCTGTACGGCCTCCCATTGCTGCTGTCTCCATCGCCACACTCTGCCATGTGCCACTTTCAGGTCTCCTCACACTGCTGGTGGGTTCCATTTTGTCATAGGGTGCTGTATGGCCTCCCATTGCTGCTGCCTCCACCGCCACACTGTGGCTCCACACTCTGGTTTTGCCCCCGTGACTGCCCAAATGAGTGAAGTGTGTGGTAATTCTAAGATCGACGGCACTCATCTGCATGTCATACTGACTGTCAGTATTATTTCTCTTCCCCAGCAGACTCCAAGGGCATTTAAATTAAAGGTACAGTGTTCTGCACTAATATAAAGGCTCTCTGAAGCCTAGAAACCCTTTTAATAAGTTAAATTCGCAGAGAATAAATTTGCATCGAATCAAATTTATTCTGCAAATTCGGCAAATCAGCCGAATCGAATTTTTGAATAATTCGCTCATCTCTAATTATACATTTAACATGTCTAAAGCCAAAGGATTTTTTAGGCTGGAGAGTAATGAATATTTAAATCCCTTGTCAGGTGTTTTTTAACGCATTGCAGAAATTTCTCTTAATTTTCTGTTACTGAAACACATAAAAGTGAGGAAATCTCTTTAAAGAGATTTACTTTTAGAAAGTTACTCCAGAATACATTTCCCTGCTGAAAGATTTACTCCCTATCCTTCTTTTGGCCGCTCAGAATTTTGTTCTTTGCATTACTTTTAGTCCTGGTGACACTGGTCACGAGAACAAATAGAGATGAATATATGTAATGCTACCATCAACATTCACACACCTAAAATGTTGTATTTTTAAATTATTCTGACAGAATTCTAGAGCTGCACATAGTCACATGAACTGTAAAAGTGTGTTTTGTTAGTAATTGTTTTCCCTAGGGGAACATAATCTTATATAGATAATGAAAGGAAAGTAACTTGTCTGTTTGGTATTGTGTGCAAGACAAAGGAGTTTGATCCTCCTAAAGTGTCTGAATGGCATTGAATATGTTATGAGGTACTGTAAGACACAAGCATAGAAAATGTCTTCTTTCATTTTTTATGAGCAAACAAAACAAATAATTAAAACGAAAAGAATAAATGTAACTTAATTCTATACGGTGGTAAAATCCTGAAAAAATGGTGATGTTATTGCTGTTCCAGTGGGACATGACCTCTTTAAGAGACAATTACTTTACCTGCCAAAAGGTATAGGGCAGTAAAAACTCATGAAGTGTGATGCAAAGTCTACCTGCCTAGGGCTCCTGTTTCTTATCCAGGTCTTTCTGTTGTACATCAGGCCACCCAGCTGCTGAAAATATTTGTTTCTCCATGTCTAGTGTGGAAACGTTTATCTTTGTGTATGTAAAAAAAACAATGGTTATTCCTAGCTCTACATGCGATTATTCTTCTTAACTCCCTTTTCCCATACAGTATCTGGACCAGTGATGCCTCCATCTAAGCCAGCTTCCCTGTACCCACCACATTCCTCTTGGTTTTCCTGTACTTCTGTGGCCTTCCCTCCTTCTGTTATCTTGGCTCATGCTATTATCGATGGACTGGACAAGGCCTACTTCCTCCTACTTTGATTTTGTTGATTTTCTGATTTAGTAGCAGTGCACTTTTTGATTTTACCTGTCTAAATTTGCTGTAAAGTAGACATACACACAAAGGGAATCCAGGCTACTTGCTTACGGATTTTTGTATTCATCCCAGAGCAAACATCTTGTGTAAACGCCTATAGTTTCTGCCAGCAGATACACAGATATGCATGTTGGTACTTGTCTGTTAATTCACCGGATTTATATATATATATATATATATATATATATATATATATATAAATATATTTTTGATATATTTAAGTAAAACATAAAAAAAAAAAATATATTTATATATAGATAGAGAGATAGATAGATAGAGATATATCTATATATATATATATATATATATATATATATATATACATAAATCCGGTGAATTAACAGACAAGTACCTGCATGTTGCTAAATCATTTAAAATTGACTTATGTGCAAATCTTTTTTTTTTTTTTTTTTTTTTTTAAAGGACAAGAAAGAAGACAGACCCTCTATTATCCTTGGCGTAACTCTTCGTGGTATTCATATTTACCAGGTAATACATTTTTTTTCCAGAATTGCAGTTATAAGACCTCTTTGTGTGCAGTAAAAAGGAAAGTTTAATTTTCTGAGCTGCGCTACAATTTCCTTTTCTCTAACTTTTATTTTCCAAATCACACTACCTATGAGCAGTGCATGAACAATGAGGCAGGAAAGGCTAGGTAGGTAAGAGCAATGGGTGGCGGCATCATGAGTTATGCCTTTTCATATGTGAGAATATTCAAAACAGTGTTGCATACCTGTATAATATAAAGTTGTAGCATTTATTTTCTTCCTTTAGGGACCAGGTACCGCAACCTCTTCCTATGTTCTGGATCACTAGTTGCTTTAGCACCATACTGTAGATCAATCAGACAGTACTGATGTCATCACATCAGTGCTGCCTGAAGTGGAAAGATGCAAGGCAGGAATGCCAATGAAGTTTAGTCTGCTTTTCCAAACCTATCTTGGCCCCTGTCAATCTTAAGCCCACCTTTTTGTCTAATTTAGCACCTTTCCAGCTACTCCACTGCCTAGCGCAATCCTCTTTACTATTACTTCACTGTTCAGCATCCTTAAGCAGCACAGGACAAAACAGATGCTAGCAAAGATGGGTTCTTCGTTTTTGCTTATTTCATTCCCTCTTCAGTCAATCCACTGTTGCCCAGCAAAGTGGGCTGACTCCTTTCAGGCCCCTCCATTGTTCAGTATTTCAGTAGCATCACAAGGAACCAACAGGTGCTGGACCTTGGACTTGGTGCTGCATCATCCTGTCTGTCTTCTCTCATGATTTGTCATTTAAATATAGGACAGACACAAGACAGTGTAAGGTTTAAGTACCTCCTATATCCAAAATGTAAAATTGTTTTGTCTATAGTTGGTCTGCTGCTGAGAAACACTGACACATGGATTGTTGTAACTGAGTAAATGGATTGATGAACCAATAGTATGCTGGAGTGGAATGCAGACACTTCTGCTGACTGCTTTTGACACAAAACTAGGAGGTCTCTCTTTTTTTTTTTTTTTTTAATATCGCTGTGTGTACGAATGTCTTAAGCATTAGAACAGCCATCACGAGGGGCGCATGCTCGGAGCGGCCCAAGATGGCTAGCTACCTCCGCTCACCCCGGACACTTCACCTCCTCTTCCTCCAGCTAGAAGGAGCCCATCGAGTCCCCGCTGGACGCGGCCGGTATCGGATTGTGTGAGGGAGTGAATGGTGGCCATGGCTCCTCCAGATTGGGTCCGGTCCCCCCTTGTAGATGAAACCACGAGACAATCATTAGGAGACTCGGAGGATTCAGTTGACAGCTCTTTACAGTTCCCCTCTGCCTTGCATCCATCCCATATGGATCAGGATTCAGTTCTGTTGGGTAAGATTTGAGGGTTTGTTCGGGAGGAGCTTGGCAAGATCTCTTGAAAACTATCAGCAGATTTACTCAAAGAACTTACAAATGTGGGTGAGAGGGCTGCTCTTCTAGAACACAAAATGGATGATGTTACTACAGTTTTGGACGGCCATGAGGGTGATGTGAAAAATCTACAGGCAGAATAAAATTTTTCTTAAGAATCAACTGGAAGAGGCGGAGAATAGAGCTCGTCACAGTAATATTCGTATTCCGATTTACTCTGACCTCTCCCAAACTACTAGGAGATCTATGAAGCCATTTCTTCAGATTCTTCAGGACAATCATATTCGTTATCGCTGGGGGTTCCCCTTGAGACTGTCCTTTATGTATAAGGGGTCTCAAAATGATGCCTTTAATCCACCTAATCTTAAACGGAGCTTAATCTCCTTGATCCCATCTCTACTTCGCAGACATCTTCAACGAATTCATCAGCACATCTACCTAGATTACTTTGCAGCCCTAGAAAGTCTTCCAATCGAGAAACTGACAGAAGATCCCAAGCCATGGCCGGCTTCATTCTCAGATCTTCCAACCAGTAGGATCGGGCTGACCTGCATGTCCTTTTGTTGGTTTGTTTCTCTTTTTGCTGTCCCAGTGGCCTATTTTTAGAAGTTTGGCAGCTGGGTGGGCCTTCCCCTTTGATTTTCTGCAGGTGCTGGAAGAGTGGGGGAGGGAGTGGTAGTTTGTCGAGGTTTGTTGTTCTGTGATTTTTTATTTATTTTTTTTCTTGGGTACGGTCTCTTCGTCTGTTACTCTTTGGGAACCGTATAAAGCGGTTATTAGGGGCCATATCATACAATTGGCTTCCAGGCAGCATAAGGAATGGGATCATCATCGGCAGACTTTGGAACGTGAGCTTGAAAGGGTTACGTTGCTGTTTAAGCGGTCTTCAATGGCCGAGCTCCAACGGAAGGTGGACTGTCTTTGCACAGATCTCAATCTTTGACTGACGAGGCTGAGCACCATTTGCGATGGTCTCGTTAGAAGTTTTATGCAAATGGAAACAAAATAAACCTCTAATCCCAGGCATATAGTGGATGAGTTTTCTCATCATCTTTCAATTTATTTATCAATTTATGTATGGCTGACCTGGAGGAAATATTCCTGAACAGCATGCAACAAAAACCATACAGATACGATCGCTATTGATATTTTCATCATATGGACAGAAGGTGAAGAAAACCTAAAACAATTTTACTCATTGATCAACACTTTTCATCCATCCATCAATCAAACTAAAAATGGAGTACTCAAACACACATGTCCACTTCCTAGATACCACAATATACATCAGGGATGATAAGCTTCACACCTCAATATACAGGAAACCCACTGACAGATGCAACTACCTCCACAGTTCCAGCTTCCACCCCCAACACACAAAATGTGCCATCATACACAGTCAGGCCATCAGATACCACCGAATATGTTCTGACCCAAGAGACCGAGATACACATCTCAGGACACTAGCAGACTTCTTCCATAAGAAAGGTTACAAGGACAAAACTATCAACACCAGCATAAACACAGCCTTGAAAACCCGAAGAGAAAATCTACTTCAGTACAAAGAAAAAAAAACAAACAACCGTGTATCTCTAGTAACTACATACAACCCAGCACTAGAAGGAATAAAAAATAATCAAAGATTTACAACCCATCATAACAAAGGATGGAGCTCTGAAAGAAATATTTCTGCAACCCCCAATACTGGCTTTTAGACAACCCCCGAACCTCAGAAATAAAGTAATTTGTAGGAAACTTTCTTCTGATTATGATGTCACAAATAATGGAAGCAAACATAGTTACATAGTCTGGCTGAAAAAAGACAAAAGTCCATCCAGTTCAACCATAAAAAATGAAAAAAAAAAAGTTATAATCCTATACCTACAGTTGATCCAGAGGAAGGCAAAAAAGCCCCAGCAAAGCATGATCCAATTTGCTCCTGCTGGGAAAAAATTCCTTCCTGATCCCCCGAGGGGCAATCGGATATTGCCTGGATCAACTTTACCTATAAATGTTAGTATCCAGTTATGTTCTGTGTATCTAAGAAACAATCCAGACCTTTTTTGAAGCAATCCACTGAGCTGGCTAGAACCAACTCTTGAGGGAGTCTGTTCCACATTTTCACAGCTCTCACTGTGAAAAAACCTTTCCGTGTTTTGGAGATTGAATTTCTTTTCCTCCAGACATAAAGAGTGCCCCCTTGTCCTCTGTGATGACCTCAGGGTGAATAGCTCTACTCCACGTTCACTATGTGAACCACTGATATAGTTATACATGTTGATATCCCCCCTTAATCTCCTCTTCTCAAGAGAGCATACATTCAGTTCCTCTAATCTTTCCTCATAGCTGATCTCCTCCATGCCTTGTATCAGTTTAGTTGCCCTTCTCTGTACTCTCTCAAGTTCCCCAATGTTCTTTTTGTGAATTGGTGCCCAAAACTGAACTGCATTTTCCAGATGAGGTATTACTAATGATTTGTACAGGGGTGATATATCTCTTTCGCTGGAGTCTATACCTCTTTTAATACAAGAGAGGATAATGCAAGCCATTATTAAGCTTGTGATCTATCAGAACACCCAGATCTTTCTCCACCATTGATTCACCCAGTTGTACCATCCCTAGTATGTATGATGCATGCATCTTCTTAGCCCCCAAGTTCATAACCTTACATTTTATCAACATTAAACCTCATTTGCCACATAGTTGCCCAATTACACAGAGCATTGAGGTGGGCTTGTAAATTGGACATCCTATAAGGACGTTATTCCACTGCATAGCTTGGTGTCATCTGCAAAGACTGAAATGGTATTTTTAATCTCAGACCCTATAGTATGAATCATCAACCACTACTCTTTGAATACAATCTTTTAGCCAGTTTTTTACCCATTTACATACGGATTTTTCCAAGCCCATAGACTTTACCTCACAAATTAGCCGTGTGGGGAACTGTGTCAAACGCTTTTGCAAAATCCAAGTATACCATGTCCACCGCCACCCCTCTATCCAAGGTTTTGCTCACCCTCTCATAAAAAGAAATCAGATTTGTTTGTCAACTTCTGTCTTTCATGAATCCATGCTGTCTGTTGCTTAAAATATTTTTTTCCAGCAAGAACTCCTCTACAGTATGTGGTCTTTTATTAAAATCTCCAGTATCTTCCCAACTATAGAAGTTACACTAACAGGTCTATAATTACTTGGTAAAGATTTTGACCCCTTTTTAAATATTGGCACCACATTAGCCTTACGCCAATCCAGTGGTACTATGCCAGTCATTAAAAATTAGAAATAATGGCTTTGAAATGACAGAGCTCAATTCTTTTAGGATCCGTGGGTATATGCCATCTGGTCAAGGTGCATAATTCACCTTTTATTCTGTCTAAATATTTTTGGATCATATCAATTGTGAGCCAATGTGGATCATCTAGAGCTGTGTCAATACCATGCCCATTATGGACAAGAGCTCCCCCATGCTCCTTTGTATACACAGAGCTGAAGAAGGTATTAAATAAATTTGCCTTCTCTTTGTCCCCAGTCACCCACTCTAGATTATTTTGTAAAGGCCTACATGCTCTGACCAAACCTTTTTACTATTAATATATTTGAAGAATGTTTTGGGGTTGGTCCTGCTATCTTTTGCAATCTGTTGTTTGTTTTCAATATTTGCAGCCATTATTTCCTTTTTGCATATTCTGTACTCTTTGTAATGTTTAAATGATGATAGTGTTCCTTCATTTTTAGATTGAATAAAAGCTCTTTTCTTATTATCTATAGCTTTTTTAACTTTGGCCTTAAGCCACATAGGTTTGATTTTTAGCCTTTTAAACTTGTTGCCCATGGGAATATATTTTGCAGTGTGTTCACATACAGTCTTTTTGAAGAACTCCCATTTCTGTGTTGTGTACATCAATGCCAATATTTCCTCCCAGTCTAAGTCTTGGAGAGCAACTCTCAGCCTTAGAAAATTTAGCCCTCTTGAAATTGAGCGTTTTTTTATTTTTCTTATGTGTGCTTGCTGTTTACAGCTAACCATAAATGAAATCATGTTATGGTCACTGCTACTCAGATGTTCTTTTATAAACCCTGCAATAAAAAACGCTGCAAACTGTGCAACCAAGTTAATCCATCAAAAAGTGTCACGCACTCAAAAGGGATTTTCAATATCTCCGGATCATACAGCTGCACCTCCAATAATGTTGTGTACCTTATCCAGTGCAGAAAACGTAGCAAAGGATCTTACGTTGGCGAAACAGGACAGAAGTTACGAACAAGGATGAATTTGCACAGACATACCATCAAGGAACATAAAGAAGATGACTTCTGCACACCTGTGGGCCACCATTTCGCACAACTGGACCACACTATGGAAGACCTCAATATTTTAGTTCTTAAAGGAAATTTCAAAACTGTTCAGGAAAGGAAAACTTTGAACTAAGAAAGATATTTCTATTTGAGATAACGGCCTTAATTTGGACATGGGATCCCTCACCCATTATCCAACAGTTTTACGACCCCCTCTGTGAGCATTGTTCCCCCTCCCCCCCCCCCCCCCAGTCTTTGCTTTTGCTCTGTCTTATCTCTAGTCTAATCCTAGTTTTATAACCATTGCTGTGTACATTTGTTTGTGTGTGGTTTTTTTTTTTTTTTTTCTTCCCCTTTTAACATTTTGCTAAAACTTTGTGAAGTAGTACTGCCTGGACCTTGAAGAAGGGGACATACCCCAAAAGCTCGTCCTCAAAATTGTATGTTAGTGCAAATAAAAAAGTATCACGGACAGTACTCAATTATTTCTGTCGCAAGTGCACTTAATATGGCTACAATCACCTCAAGCACTCATCATCTTTTGAAACCTTACGCTTTATTCCTTCGGGAGACTCCTTTACCTCATATAACACACTATCAAAGGAACATGCTGGGCGCTGATAATACACAGGAGGAACTTCAGCAGATGATTCAATCTTTGAAGGTGCATAAGCGTGCTAGCCCAGATGGTTTTACGGCTCTTTTAGAAAACATTTAGTGATGTTTTAGCCCAGGTATTCAATCAGCTTAATCGGGATGGTCAGCTCACTTCGGAAATGCTAAAGGCTCAGATTGTGATGGTTCCTAAACCAGGGAAGATCAGCAACCGTGGTTGAATTATCGCCCTTTTTCTCTGTTGAATGTGGATGTGAAAATTCTGACTAAACACTGGTCAATAGACTGAATGTGTTAATCCCTACCTTAATTGATAAGGATCATGTGGGTTTTGTGCCTCGGCGCCAGGCGACCAATAATATTCAACGCTTTATTAGTCATTTCGCTCTAATGCAGTCCCATGAGCTTATGTTTCTGTCTTTGGATATGATTAAAGCCTTTGATACTCTTTCCTGGACTTATTTACAGAGGACCTTGCAGAGGGGGGGGTGTGGGAAATGATTTTCTTCAGTGGATTTATAGACTTTATAGTATCCCGTCCACTACGGTTCGTTATCGGGTTGAAGCCTCGGTTTCCAATTAAGGGTGGTGCGCGTCAGGGTTGTCCCCTGTCTTCACTTCTTTTCATCATGGGCCTTGAACCCCTCGCTTTTCGCATTCGACTTCATCTGGACATTTTGGGTCTTGGCGGGATTGCATCATAAGATTTCCCTTTTTGCGGACGATAATTTGATGTATCTTTCGTCTCCACTTGTTTCTCTCCTCAATCTCTTGTCGCTTCTGACTGATTTCACTCATCTCTCGGGATTTTTTGACCCCTTGGACCTCTCTGGATCTACTTGACTCTTTTTTTTCTTCTTTCTCTCTTCTTTCATAAGGTTTGTTTATATTAGACCAATTGTCTATTATTTTTTATTGTTATATATCAAATCTATGATTCTCAGGGACAATATTGCCTCATGAGGGCATGGCTCTTTTTGTGTTTTTTTTTTTTTTTGTTTTGTTTTTAGTTTTTATATTTCTGAATGTGGTTGTGGGCCTTGCGACCCTCTGCCTTATACATTTATCTAGACCCCAGAGTAGGTCTTATATGTGTATTTCTGTGTTTGTTGTATGTTTCCTTATCCTCTATTGTTGGTTGTCGCTTTATATCATACGATTTGTCACGGTTTGTATGATTCTTTCAACATGCTTAATGAAATCTTTGGTTAAAGAACAGCCATCACAAATATTTTCCATATTTTGCCTAATATGTTTATTTGCTTTGATCATCAGCTCCATCTTGTGGCCTTAATGCAGTATTTTCCTCAAATACCCCAATCAGGAAATAGCATATTACATGGGGCTAGCAATCAGTGATTGGAAATAAATTAGGCATATAAAGGGGATTATTCATGATGGCTGTGTGAATGCCTGTGACATTCTCGCATCAAATTTTTAAATTAGGACTACGCTTTATGGCTATATGTGGCATATTGGGGAACAAAAAAAAAACGCTCTAGGACTGTCAAAAAACATAGCAGCAAGCATAATACCATAATACATAGTATAATGGTATTGCTAAATTATTTAGCAGTGCTAAAATAATTCAAAATGTATCTGCAATACAATAATGCAATGCAAATATATCAAACTGTTATGTGTCACCACAAATTGAAAAAATAAAGGAATCCAAAAGTGAAAAAAAAAAAACCTGAATTCAGTGGTTCTTCGATTGAGAGAAATGACAGATGTGGATGTCAAATGCCACCAAAACATCCTAATGATGAACCACACAGCACCTCGGTGTACAACAAAGGGAGGCTTACCAGCATCCTATCACCCCCAATTAAGAGTGGTCAACCAGCACTTGTGTATTAATCCAAGATATCCAGCTTTCCTCAAAACCAGATGTCAAATGTAGGTACTGCTGTGTTGTATCAGATCGCCATGCATACTGTATACTCAGTTGTATCATGAAAAAGAAAAAGACAGGCTCTCCATAGTGTAATCCAGATTAAAAACACAAATGTAATGTGGTAAATGCACTTACAATGAAAATATGACAATCAGGCACTTCAGATCATATAAACAACTCGTATTAAAAAATCCAAGATGGCTGCAGCGGGATTGCATATGTGTAGTGGCGTGTGTTGCATCTCTGCCCTACTAGTTTCGTCAAAGATGACGTCATCAGGAGCATGCTGATTTATTTAATACATATATGTTAAATTATTTTAGCGCTGCACTATTTTGTGATATGTGGCATATTGTTTTTCTTTTGTCAAGGATAGAAGTTTATGAATGCTTTTTAATTTTTTTTTCTTAATGCAGGAAATTGATCATATTCGTCAACTTCTCTATGATTTCCCATGGTCAAATGTGGGGAAGCTTACATTTCTTGTAAGTAAATGAAAATTATAGTTTGTTATTTTAGGTTTTCTGGATTTTCTTTTTTTTTTTTTTTTTTTTTTTTCTTTTGAGGGCAAGAAAATAGCAATTTCTTAAACTGATGATTTGTGTCTATACCAGTGATGGCGAACCTTTTTGAGCCCGAGTGCCCAAACTGCAACCCAAAACCAACTTTTTCTTTCAAAGTGCCAACACTGCAATGAAACCTGAATATCGAGCTTTTGGTTTAGAAAAAACAACTCGTACAGTAGTGCAAACTAATTAACAGTACAGGGATGACCAGAGACTGCGGACACAGTACAGGGATGACCAGAGACTGCGGACACAGTACAGGGATGACCAGAACTGCGGACAGTACAGGGATGACCAGAGACTGCGGACACAGTACAGGGATGACCAGAGACTGCGGACACAGTACAGGGATGACCAGAGACTGCGGACACAGTACAGGGATGACCAGAGACTGCGGACACAGTACAGGGATGACCAGAGACTGCGGACACAGTAACAGGGATGACCAGAGACTGCGGACACAGTACAGGGATGACCAGAGACTGCGGACACAGTACAGGGATGACCAGAGACTGCGGACACAGTACAGGGATGACCAGAGACTGCGGACACAGTACAGGGATGACCAGAGACTGCGGACACAGCACAGGGATGACCAGAGACTGCGGACACAGTACAGGGATGACCAGAGACTGCGGACACAGCACAGGGATGACCAGAGACTGCGGACACAGCACAGGGATGACCAGAGACTGCGGACACAGCAAAGGGATGACCAGAGACTGCGGACACAGCACAGGGATGACCAGAGACTGCGGACACAGCACAGGGATGACCAGAGACTGCGGACACAGCACAGGGATGACCAGAGACTGCGGACACAGCACAGGGATGACCAGAGACTGCGGACACAGCACAGGGATGACCAGAGACTGCGGACACAGCACAGGGATGACCAGAGACTGCGGACACAGCACAGGGATGACCAGAGACTGCGGACACAGCACAGGGATGACCAGAGACTGCGGACACAGCACAGGGATGACCAGAGACTGCGGACACAGCACAGGGATGACCAGAGACTGCGGACACAGCACAGGGATGACCAGAGACTGCGGACACAGCACAGGAGATGACCAGAGACTGGGGACACAGCACAGGAGATGACCAGAGACTGGGGACACAGCACAGGAGATGACCAGAGACTGGGGACACAGCACAGGAGATGACCAGAGACTGGGGACACAGCACAGGAGATGACCAGAGACTGGGGACACAGCACAGGAGATGACCAGAGACTGGGGACACAGCACAGGAGATGACCAGAGACTGGGGACACAGCACAGGAGATGACCAGAGACTGGGGACACAGCACAGGAGATGACCAGAGACTGGGGACACAGCACAGGAGATGACCAGAGACTGGGGACACAGCACAGGAGATGACCAGAGACTGGGGACACAGCACAGGAGATGACCAGAGACTGGGGACACAGCACAGGAGATGACCAGAGACTGGGGACACAGCACAGGAGATGACCAGAGACTGGGGACACAGCACAGGAGATGACCAGAGACTGGGGACACAGCACAGGAGATGACCAGAGACTGGGGACACAGCACAGGAGATGACCAGAGACTGGGGACACAGCACAGGAGATGACCAGAGACTGGGGACACAGCACAGGAGATGACCAGAGACTGGGGACACAGCACAGGAGATGACCAGAGACTGGGGACACAGCACAGGAGATGACCAGAGACTGGGGACACAGCACAGGAGATGACCAGAGACTGGGGACACAGCACAGGAGATGACCAGAGACTGGGGACACAGCACAGGAGATGACCAGAGACTGGGGACACAGCACAGGAGATGACCAGAGACTGGGGACACAGCACAGGAGATGACCAGAGACTGGGGACACAGCACAGGAGATGACCAGAGACTGGGGACACAGCACAGGAGATGACCAGAGACTGGGGACACAGCACAGGAGATGACCAGAGACTGGGGACACAGCACAGGAGATGACCAGAGACTGGGGACACAGCACAGGAGATGACCAGAGACTGGGGACACAGCACAGGAGATGACCAGAGACTGGGGACACAGCACAGGAGATGACCAGAGACTGGGGACACAGCACAGGAGATGACCAGAGACTGGGGAGATGACAGAGACTGGGGACACAGCACAGGAGATGACCAGAGACTGGGGACACAGCACAGGAGATGACCAGAGACTGGGGACACAGCACAGGAGATGACCAGAGACTGGGGACACAGCACAGGAGATGACCAGAGACTGGGGACACAGCACAGGAGATGACCAGAGACTGGGGACACAGCACAGGAGATGACCAGAGACTGGGGACACAGCACAGGAGATGACCAGAGACTGGGGACACAGCACAGGAGATGACCAGAGACTGGGGACACAGCACAGGAGATGACCAGAGACTGGGGACACAGCACAGGAGATGACCAGAGACTGGGGACACAGCACAGGAGATGACCAGAGACTGGGGACACAGCACAGGAGATGACCAGAGACTGGGGACACAGCACAGGAGATGACCAGAGACTGGGGACACAGCACAGGAGATGACCAGAGACTGGGGACACAGCACAGGAGATGACCAGAGACTGGGGACACAGCACAGGAGATGACCAGAGACTGGGGACACAGCACAGGAGATGACCAGAGACTGGGGACACAGCACAGGAGATGACTGGGGAGAGACTGGGGGACACAGCACAGGAGATGACCAGAGACTGGGGACACAGCACAGGAGATGACCAGAGACTGGGGACACAGCACAGGAGATGACCAGAGACTGGGGACACAGCACAGGAGATGACCAGAGACTGGGGACACAGCACAGGAGATGACCAGAGACTGGGGACACAGCACAGGGATGACCAGAGACTGGGGACACAGCACAGGGATGACCAGAGACTGGGGACACAGCACAGGGATGACCAGAGACTGGGGACACAGCACAGGGATGACTGCTGACCTTTGGGGAGGGAGGGGGAGCGGGTACCTGAATTTGACAGGTACCCGCTCTTACTTCCGCAGAGTTTTTTTTTTTTTATCTTACCTGTTCCTCGATCCAGCCGCGCGCTGTCTTCCCGGCTTCTGTAGTGTGGGCGCTCGTCGGACAGCCGGATGCCCAGTGCGCATGCGCGAGAAGCGCTGCGCTTTGTGATTGGTCCGGCGGCTTCTGGGATCTGTCATGTGTCCCAGGTACCGCCTTACCATTCACAAGGAGCACTGCTTCTTGTGCATGCGCACTTGGGACCCGGCTGTCACGCACACTACAGCCGGGAAGACAGCGCGCCGCTGGATTCTCCTGGCGTGCCCACAGATAAGGCTCGGCGTGCCGGCTGTGGCACGCGTGCCACGGGTTCGCCACCACTGGTCTATACAGTCGGGTTTTTTTTTTTTTGTTTAGTTTTTTTTGTTCTCATGGTATCAAAACCTCTAATGGTTTTTAACTATATTGCTCATGTCATCTTTATTAATGGGCAATATTAAAGTAAAGGAGCACTGGGCCTGAGTTATGTCTATGTGCATAACATAACACAGTTCTTGACTTTCAGCAAGTTTTAAACTATTGCATGTACATTTTCTTAGTCATTTCTTTTTTTGTACTGTGGTGTGTACAGTATGCAAGATTTTAATAAACTATTCCTAGAATATAAGGCTTTCCTATCAGGCATTACATTTGTTAAATAGTTTTGTATAGTAACACTTCTGTCTATTTTCTGGAGTTTCTAAAATGCATGTAATCTGTTTGAAGGGTAAGAAATTTGAGATTCAACCCGATGGATTGCCATCAGCACGGAAACTGGTTTACTACACAGGTTGCCCTTTCCGATCGCAGCACCTTTTGCATTTGCTCAGTAATAGTCATAGGCTGTATCTAAACATACAACCTGTGCTAAAAAGAAATTAAAAAGATGGAAGAAGCAGAAGGTATGTGTTAACCTATAGTAATGTATATACATAATTTTTACTTTATCCCAACACCATGTTTCATGCACCCTTTGGTCCCACGTTCCATGGGAATAGAAATTTTATTTATGGTCTATAGGACTGTACTTGTGAAGCGTATTTAATGTATAGGTGTCCTATCCTGATGAACAAGAAAACAACATACTACATGAAAGACCTCTTACAGATTAGGAACAAATCCTTTATCACAAAAATCCATTATCTACATACCAGCAAAACCTGCAATGTTTTCCTCACTCCCCCCTACATATTTGAGACTGCTGATAAGCTTTGACTTTGAGAGGCTAAGAAAGGCCATGCTTCATATACAGTTGTTAAAGGACAAACCTAGTACTGCTTTAAACCTGGAACAAATGTGAAGGTGTTATCCCATGACAAATTCCATGTTTCATTAGTAAGATTTAAAGTATTTGTAAACACAGTGATCCAAAGACACATTGGGGTTGATTTACTAAAATGAAGAGTACAAAATCTGGTGCAGCTCTGCCTAGAAACCAATCGGCTTCCAGTATTTTTTGCCAAAGTTTAATTGAACAAGCTGAAGTTAGAAGCTGACTGGTTACCATGCACAGTTGCACCAAATGTTGCACTTTACAGTTTTAGTAAATTAACCCCAATGTATTAGAGCAAATAGTATGTTTTTAATCAAATCACATTTCATTTGTTGGAAAAAAATATTTACCTTTTTATTAAGTTGTAAATTGCCACATTATTATTATTATTATATTATTATTATACAGTATTTATAAAGCGCTGATAGTTCACTCAGCGCTGTACATTACAAAGGGGGACAGAACATGTGACAGAACAATACCAATACAATGCAAAACATGAGGGGATCGAGGGCCCTGCTCTTTCGAGCTTACAATCTAGAAGGGACGGGATAGTGGTACAGGAGGAGATAGCTGTAGGGGATGGAGTGGTAGGAAGAGTGGAGGAGGTCGGTCAAGTTAGCAGGGGGTAGGCTTCCCTGAAGAGATGGGTTTTCAGGGTGCGCCTAAAGGAGAGGAGAGTAGGTGATAATCTGATGGGTTGGGGAAGGGAGTTCCAGAGGATGGGTGACACCCTGGAGAAGTCCTGGAGGCGGGCATGGGAGGAGGAGACCAGGGAACTAGAGAGAAGGAGGTCTTGTGAGGAGCGGAGTGTGCGTGCTGGGCAGTACTTGGATATTAGGTCGGTGATGTAGTTCGGGGCAGTATGGTGGACAGCTTTGTACATCAGTGTTAGGATTTTATATTTGATCCGTTGCGCAATCGGAAGCCAGTGGAGGGATTGGCAGAGGGGGGTGGCGGAAACGGAGCGGTTGGAAAGGTGAATGAGTCTGGCAGCCGTATTCAGGATCGACTGAAGCGGGGATAGCCAGCGGCGAGGCAGGCCAGTGAGGAGGGAGTTGCAGTAGTCGAGTCGTGATATGATGAGGGAGTAGATGAGCTGTTTAGTGGTTTCTGGGGTTAGGAACATGCGTATTTTGGCGATGTTGCGGAGGTGGAGTCTGCACGAGTTTGTTAAAGATTGGACTTGGGGCTGGAAGGATAGGTTGGAGTCCAGAATGACACCAAGTACTCTGGCCTGCAGGGCGGGTTTGATATTGGCGTTGTTGGATGTGATGGAGAAGTCAATGGGGGGTGGGGTTCGGGCTGGGGGGGAAGACAAGAAGCTCGGTTTTGGAGAGATTCAGTTTAAGGAAGTGGAGCGACATCCAATCTGATATGTCGCTCAGTAGGTGTGTGATTCGGGCAGAGACCAAGGGGGTGAGGTGGGGGGTTGAGAGATAGATTTGTGTGTCGTCGGCATAGAGGTGGTAGTTGAAGCCGTGAGAGTGTATGAGTTGGCCAAGGGAGGAGGTGTAGATGGAGAAGAGAAGGGGCCCAAGGACAGAGCCTTGAGGGACCCCAACAGAGAGGGGGAGTGAGGGGGAGCTCAACTCCTTTGAGCTCCTCTTCCCCCTATCTGTGTGCGCTGTATTCAAGAAAGATGTTCTTTCTAAGTTTCAAACAGCTATAGATTGCAGCTGCAAAAGGCAGGATGTTATTGGCTATTGGTTCTCAGCTACTTTAACAGCCGTATTCCAGCTGCAGCAGAGGACGTGTCAACTAAACTGACCATGGGAAAACAGACATGGCATCTGTAGACACAGCTTCTTGTGTCACCTAGGATGATGCAGAAAACAAACAAAACCCACCGCTCAAGGTAAATCCGATAATAAATAAACTCAATTCCACATAACTGGATGCTGGTGCAGTTCACAGCCACGGGATACTATGCAAGGAGAAATGGATGACTGCACTCGAGAATGTTACCTGCTTGTAGAGCTGCGATGTTTGTCTTTTAAAATGTTTGGATATTTCTACATTCTTGAGTGCGGTCATTCATTTCTCCTTGCATGGTGCATAGGATGCAGTGCTATTGAACCACACGAGCACAGATGTCCTACCATGCTTGGCGTGGTCATATTGCAAAGGATGAATGGAGATTTGGCAGGATTACTAGGCATTTGACAGAAATGAAGAAAACAAAACCAAACATATTGAGTTTACAAAGAAATAAAAGAAGAAACCTACGTGAAGACGAAAGGCTTCATTCCCAGTTTCTCTTACTGAAGATGCCGGCACCTGCACGATGATTTAATTATAAAAAAAAAAACAAAAAACTTGCAAAGCTTTATTCCTTTTACTTCAATGAGCTTGTTAGATTTGTCTTGGTGGTCCCTCTTTTGCACAAATGGGTTCAATGTCTTTGGCAGCTTGACAACTTAAATGGTGTTTGTTACATCTCAGTTTCATAACTGTATCATGGAGATTATGAATATCTAATAATAATGCTTTTGTTTGTTCTCTAGAAAAAAAATGCTACAGGGAATCCTATGTAAGTGACAACATGGAAATGGATTTAGATCAATCTGATATATATTCTCATGGAAGCAGCAGGGAAAGTGCCAAGAACAATCGCCTTTCTAGACAGTCAACTGTCAGTCACAGTAGCTCGCATACCTCTGGCATTGAAGCTGACTCACACCACAGGATGTCAGAGGAGATGTCTGTAGATGATCCTTTTGGGCTTGAGGTTGTTCTCAACAAGAAATCGTATAGCTCTACTATCAGTCAAAGCACCTCTGGAATTGAACATGAGAGCAAAGGAAGAACAGATGAAGATTCTCAAGATGATGGTAATAATGTTTGCTTTTTAATTCGTAATTATAAATCCCCTGTTTTGTTATAATTTATTATATAAAATGTGTATGATGGGGGACTTGCTCAGGTGGTATCTGCTTGGTCGGTAGGCATCCTACAATGTAGTCACTTTAGGGGATTTGAGGTCCTACTAATATTTTCAGAAAAAAGAAGATACGGTTTCACTTCAGTAGTAAACAAGAGACAAATTTTTGGCCTACTGAGTCCATGTAGTAGGCCTTTGCTCAGCCGAAACAACTTATTCAAAAACACCTCCCCTTCCAACCAAGTGTTTTTTGCTCAGCAAAAATAGTCAGTACTTCGTCCACTGAGTTTTCCTAACACAGCATATTCCTGTGAAGCCTTCCAGCCCATTTTAACACAGCATATTCCTGTGAAGCCACAGCTCCAGCCCATTTTAACTTAAAAGGCACTGATATTTCTCTCTCCAGACCCTGGAGCCCATTCTCGCTCAAGGCTGGGTTTCTCCATCACCTCAAAATATATATTTTTGTCACTTACCTGAATCAAATCCAGCCAGGTGGTTGGAGAGCCCCCAAGATTTTAGGTAACTGAAGGATAACGTTTACATTTGTTACTATGCGTTCACAACCTTGGTCTTTCAGCTGTTAAAAGCCCAGTTTGCAAGAAGCCTATGAGCTATTAATGCCTAACCTTTTCCATTGGTTGCCCATCTCTAACCTAAATTCCTACAAAGTAATAAGGCAAAAAAGGAGAGGGAAGTCAGGAAGATTTAAATGCTTGTTTACGGGTATTTGATTAGAAACTTGTGTGACACTTTTTGCTCCAGAAATGAATATTTTAGTTTTTCTACATCTTCATTTCTTTGATAGTTTGCCAAGTTTACTAGAGTGCACAGTTATTTAAATTAACTAAATGATTTGATATTAATTTACAACACAATGGAAGATATGCTGCTACCAAAAGAACTGATGGTTCAGAAAATACTGGAACATGTAGGCAAACCTAGAGATTGCTATTTAAATATTATTTTTTTTGGTACTAAAACGTCACCTGTTGCTGAAACAAAAATTGCCCTAAAATCATAATGAATAATTGTACGATTTCCATATTCCAACAGAGGTTGAGTTGTCTGTGGATAAGCCTCTTGATGCTGGAGTTATTGACGCTATATCATCAAACACATCTGTTTTGGAGACTGAAGAACAATGTGTGGATTCTCCCATAATGGATAATTACAACTGGCAAAGTAGGCAAAAACAATGTTCACCTCCCTATAGAACAGAAGATTTCCACTAACCATCACATATCCTTGGGCTCACTGTTTTCAGGAGTCTTCCAAAGTTTCTAAGAGGTTTATTGCACCCTAAAGAGTGAAAAGTGCCAGTGATCAACCTAATTAAATGCCACAGACATCATAGCTATGATGTTTGTTAATAAGTGCATCACAATTCATTGATTCAGATACCAGTGATACACACAAAGCAAGGAAAAGCGCAAGTTTAGAATGAGACCCATTCAGCAGATACAGAAGCACAAAATATCTACAATACATGCAATTGCTGATGTAACTTTAGGCATGCAGCTATTAAATAATCCAGAGAGTTTACCAGAACACACATGCCTCATGGTATTATGCAGAGAAAGATGCAGACATTTACTGTACAAGCACAAC